AAAAAAAATCTGTGTGAAATTTTTTGGCCAATATCCTAGGCTCGCAAAAGTCCACCACAGTTCAATATGCTCAAAAAAAAATTTATAAATAATTTAATTAATAAATTTTTTACTAAAATTCCAATAATCTTCTAAAGTATTAGTCCTACATAATTTGGTATATGGACCTTTTTTGTAGAGAATCGAAGTTAGTTACTTAAGGAACCCATTTTTTTAGTACTTGAAATTTGATGGACTTCGGCGAGCCTAGGATATTGACCAAAAATTTTCACACTTCACACAGGCACACTAATGTGTATGATAACAAAAACGGATTCGCACGAAAATGCTAAACTAAAAATATAATTAGCGTAATTCATATTTGCCTATAAAAACCTGCCAAAAAGTTAAGGAATGAAAAATTTAATGCGTACATGTTATAAGTACGGATTTCACTTACCAGAAGAAAATTCTTAGAGAATTCGCAATCAACAAAGCAAGACAAACGTGAAGCGAAAATCCATCTGCATCTTGTGTTTTCTTGATCTCCAAATATTGCGGTACATAAGGTATAACACCGCCGATGACCATAGCGGAAGCTGCTGCTCCCCTAGCCACATGACCGACAGTAATACCGAGTTCATCATGAATGACCCAATCCATGTTGACTGAGTTAAATGCTTTTACAGATGCTTAAGTCGACGCCGAGATAGATTTCTATAAGTAATAGTTTTACTTATGTTATTGAATGATGCGTCCAAATTTAATTTGGTTTGTAGTAACAGTGGAAGATTGATAGTCGTAGTGTTGATTTACATATATAGAAACATATGTATTTATGTTGTATTATTGCTGCTAACAATTTTGCCAATGCTTGTATGCAATCTTTGTATTACATGTCTTGCGACTTAAATTTAATTAGAATTGCAAACGGATGGATATGTTTAATGTTGTGGATTTTTTGCAAAATAAATAAATATGTATTTTAAGTTGCGTTTCGCAATTATTTCGCGAACGCGTTGCTGGAAGTTCTGCCAATCCGGCCGGAGGTAGCGTGCTTTGCTAAGCTTGTGCAGTTTTCACTTGGTAGGTATTTAATCCGAAAATATGGAACTGTCGAAATTCACATTACCCTAATTGACTAAATTAAAAAAACAAAAAGATTTTTTGTTACACAGAGCAAGTAAATATTCGCACAGGCAAAGAAGAGAAATAATATATGTACATATGTACGTATCTATGTAAATATGTTTATACAGATGCTCTTAATGAGCGATTAGAAAACAAGGAACCTGTTTTATTTCTGGAATGACGGGTGCATTAAGAATAGATATACATAAATGTATGTTTATACATACATATATGGTTAGGTACGTGCGCATTAATTTAAATTATGTGGCGAAACAGTCACGAATCTTCCACGTCTATAAAAGAATTTTGGGTATGAAAGCAATGAGAAGTAAACGTTGACAGAATGAAGTGCCTCGGTGGCAACGTGCAGAAATTTTATTTCTGTGTGGGTGATGATACCATGGAAGTCACCTAAATATAGTCTATGTGGTAAAGATTAGTTATACAGTGCCTCGGTGGCAACGTGCAGAATTCTGTGTGGGTGATGATACTATGGAAGTCATCTAAATTAGTTATAATTTTGAAGCGTTTTCACAATTATTTTATGTGGTAAATGCATATATATATGTATACTGCACAATTAAGTAGCAATTACGTTTTTTCACTATATTAGTTTTCCACACTTTGGTGCTATTTATTGAATTTTCCATTGCGAGTGCATACATACATATGTATGCAGGTATGTGTGTATACTCAGATACATGAAACGAAATTCAGGAAAATCTCGAATACGCGTCTTCACTGCGAAATTTCCACATCAATCGTTTGCGCTGCGGCATAATTGACAATTTTTTCACTTTTTAATACCTATTCAAAATTATTTAATCGAATCACTAGATTACACCGATTATAGATTTTCACAATATTCGGCGCCTTTCGAAATTGTTTATGTTTACAACTCTTTCAACAATTATCTTCCTTTGCATTCGTTACCAAAGTCATTATAAATAATTTAATTTTCTCACACACACACAAATATGAGAAGATGGAACCAGGGCGCGCACGCACACGTCCAATTCTCATTCTGGTTCAAGATTTTCTGATTCTGATTTTTTGGCCAAATTCACAAAAGCAAAAGCGGAAATTCTTTTTCACATTTGTCGTTCAAAGCAGAATGTCAAAAAGGAGAACGTCATGCGAACAAATTGCTGCTGAATGTCGAACGAAAACAAAACATAACAAGAGCTGCCACAAGTTTATTTCAAAAGACACAGATCGTAAATGTATAAGAAGGCACAAAGAACGTAAATCCAAAGAACATAAATCTATAAAAAGCTCCAACTCGTTACTTTGAAAATGTGCCGCGTGTTATTTATTTTCTAAATTAAAATAAATTTTCCTAATTACTTGTGCAATAATAATAAAATCAAAAATCTGCCGCGGACAGAGTCAAAAGCGAGACGAACTCCTCATCGTCGCGGCATAATTTCAAAGTAACGAGTGGTCCCTAAGGTTGGTGTTATGCAGAAATTTTGTTTGGCAAACTGCGTTCAATTGTTGTTGCAGCAAACTCGGAGAGTGCGGAGAATTGCCATTCCCACGACAGCCGGTTCTACGTACCAGAATGACTCGGGTTTCACCCGACCAAGGGCTGTTGTTTCGGCGATCTAACCCCGTTTAGGTCGGCGAAGTATCTTAGAAGTTGTCCGTCCATAGGGCTACATTCACTACGCATTCTCCCAATCAGGGCTGGCATCGAGTCAAACACTGGGCCAGAAACATACACCTGCTGTGTATGCCGAAGACGATTACACCACAACTCCACCTCAGTCAAGTGTAATGCCTGCGAGGGGTGGAGTCACCTCAGGGTCTGCTCGGGACTACGGACACACAGACAGTGGACCACGTCGTACGTGGCCCCCTGTTGCTCAAACAGAGCAGCCTCCACGGCTAACCATAGTCCGCCCGAGCAGCCCCACACACTCACACAGCAGCCACACACAGTCACCACAACACAACAACATAATAACACCACAGACCGTACCACAGCCACCACAGACCACATAACACACACAACCGCACCACCACCCACACGCCGCCGCCAACAACTCCTGGTTCCAACTACAATCTGCACGGTATGTCAGACCAGGATATTCCGTAATGTGACATCAGTCAAGTGCAACACCTGCCTTGGCTGGTGCCACTTTAGGGCATGCTCAGGTCTGCGTACCACGCGAGATTGGACGGGGAACTTCGAGGGCCCGTGTTGCGCTGCTCGGTCGCAGACTTCAATTGCGACGCCCCCCC